CCAATCCTCAATCACTTTAAACGAGCCAAGGTTAATACATCTCATACAGTGTTTAAATACGTTTGATTTTTATCTGCATAGTATTTCAGAGCCGTGGGACAAAAACATTGTATATTTCTCACCTTTTTTACATCACAGTGTTCTTTGAACATGTGAAGATGAAAGTAACTGTGAAATGAGCACCATAAAGTTTAAGATTCCTGGGTTGTTATCAAGAAGTTGAGGTTGCAAATGGCAAGTTAGTGCTGACTGCCTAAACAAGACAGAAAGAAGCAAGGGTTCATCTATCTTTTTGATCTTTCTCATCAACTTACTGCAATATTTTGTCCATTAAAATTCTGACGGTTCTAAATACAGACAAATCGTCTAATGTGTAAAACCAGACATGGTTCTCGTTAGGTATGTATATTAATAGTGTACCGCCTATTAAAGAATATCTAGAGCAGATTAGTTGTTTATTTTAATGCCTAGTTCGTTGGTGGACAACGTAACCTGTTGATGCTTTTATTCGTATAGAATGTAAAGTTTTGCCTCATTGTTCAGTTATATTGCTTAATGAATGTTATAGCAATGAATAGTAAACTGACTCTAAGAGCACAATTCTTTTGTTGACCTATAGTTAATGCTTTTTTAATTGTTACTGCCAGACTCAAGAGTAACTACCTCAGGTATTCTGATTTTTGCACTCCAGGGCTTACTTCATTTTGGGATTCGAGCAAAGCAGTCAGCCTTCACTACTTTACTGAAGTGGTCAATCTTGATGTGTGAGAAGCCTGGGCGAAGCACTCTTTATTACGTGTTTTCTTATAATGAGAGACAAAAAAATTTATTATTTGATACAGGGATCAACTGAATAGAGAAAGTATGCACAAATGTTTTACTTATTAGCGGAACTTTGAGGCTCAAATGCCATCGCGAAAGCTATAGCAAATACGACCTATTTACTATTGAAGAGAAATGCTTCACTGGGTAAAAAGCCTATTTCAAAATTGGCATCTTTCTGATACATAAGAATAATCGGATTATGTATGCGTTCGTAAAGGCATCTATCAGCAAAGCTTGTGCTGTCACTTAAAACGACTGGGTTTCCAGCACTATCCAGCAGGGCTATTTATCCTTGTTTGTATGCATATTTATATAGAGCTACTGGGTAGGGCGATAGGGTATTTTCTACGATTTTATTATGTTCCTCCTGCACATTTTCCATTAATTATCTCTATACTAGTCTCTGGGCGAATTCATTCTGACTCAACCGAACATGACAGTGAGGCCACGTGGCGATATTTATTCATTAAACGAAGGCTACGCAAGCTATTGGTCGCCCGCGATCAGAGAATATATTCACTCTAAGAAGTTCCCAGCCGTGAGCTCACACCTTTTTGTCTTGTTAATCCGATGCATTTTTTTATTGAACATACTGTCGATAATTCCGCCCATATACAAAATAATTTGGTAGTTGCGGTAAATTCATGTTATTTGACCTTTCATTTTGCGTGAAACGTTGTTTGGAAGGGATCCGTTATTTAGTATCACCAAAAAGTAAGAAAGGGTTACCCTGGAGTTTTTAATAATGCTTTGAAATGATATATCTTTAGTGTACTATTCTACGAATCCGATGAATCCATACTGAGCACTCCTGCTCTATCAGGCAATTGATCGTTTGCATGGTTGCCTAATCAACATCTCTATCTCCGATGATGCGTTTGTAGCATAGTATCCTTTTCCTTTTACAAATTACCTGTAGTATTATCATTCAATGTTAATTTTTCTTTTGTTGTTTTCGCATGAGTGCTTTATACGTGTGAAATGTCAATGACTTATAGGTTAATGCGAAACAGCTATCTGAGGCACGACATGGAGTTTCATGACTCTTTTAGGTTATCAATGTTTCTACACCATCGATTCCTCAAAAAATATATCTGAACTACTGAGAAATTTGGGTGTTACATAGATATATAAAGAGAGACTAACATTTTCCTCTGCTACAGCTTCTTTCTGCAAATATTTAGACCTTTTCCTAGATCAGGTTGTTTTTATATTTTTTTCTAATATCATTGTGTCTATATGCTGGAGACATTTTGATCTATTCATAAGAGGTTCTGTGTGCGGAGACTTAACGGTAAAGAATATTAGGACGTCGACAAAAGGTACAATCCTTCTAAACAAAAGGAACAAGTGTGTAATACCTATGGCTATTGGATAGAATTTAAAAGAGGAAGCATAATGAGCTGAGAAGTGAGAGAAGAACGCTTGATTTACCTTAAGTTGGCTTAGGCTCTAACACTTTGCTTGACCTATTAGCATTGCGGGCATACAAAACACGCATTAACATGTCGAGAGCAGACTAAGATCATTTTGACAGAAAACGAATATTCGGCCACAATCGAATTAACTCACCCGTAAGCAGGTAAGGATAGGCCTTCCGTGTGCAAATTGAGTATCAAATGCTTCATTTAGATTTCAAAATAAGTTTATAAGTATTTAAGGTTGCATCCGGCCTTAGTGTAGGGTTATTTCGTAAGAAATTATTTAACGCTGTGAAGATGTTTTTACCATGACGGATACAGACTAACAACGTGTTGCCAGGACAATGCGCCGAGCACTTCTTCGCTCAAATAAACTGTCACAGCTAACTAACCAGGTCTCCCTAACAACTCGACCAGGTTGCGAAAACGAGGTAGATCACATCGAGAGGAGGCTACGGTCAAAATAGAGGCCACACCATCCTGGTATTCATATCACAGCTTCAGTTTCCGGTAGGACCAATTTATAAAGCCCTCCTATCCAGCTTTTTATGCGAAATCAATGATCAAATAACGCGAATTTATTAATGGATTCTTTACAACCCAGCTTTCTGCCATATGATTTTGTTCAATTCTCTTAAGCATTCTATACTACCTATCGAAACTCATTTGTACGTATTCCTCAATATGACTAGTAAAAATTTATTTCTTTTTATTAATAAAGTTATCGAATTGGTATGAGCTTGTTTCATCCAAGTGCTTTTAAACTTTGCACTGCTTCAGATTTAAAA